CCTGCAGGTATGGATGCGGTCACAAAATCAAGTTTACTTCTCAACATAATCCATTTAGAAATAGCCATATAATTAACAGATGTATTTGGCTCATACATCTTCACAAACACCTGGAGTGCGATTTCACAGATGTATTTGAGCAATAACTTTGCTCAATTTTATTGGAACAAAAACAAAGAAAATATTATCGGCACAAGCATAAGAGAGTGTGTCATTCATTACACAAATATACGTATAAATATTACAAATTCATCGCATCTTCTTCATTTTCGCAACTACAAAGAGTCTTTTATGGATGTTTCAGTTGTCCAATAAGTTAAGCAACAGAAAAAATACAGAAATTGAATCCAAATAATTGCAGAGTAAATCACAGGAATCGCTAGCCAAACAACAATCATGGGAAATGAAATTAAAAGAAGAATAATCAACACCAACCTAGGACGAGTAGAGGAAAAAGATCGAGAGGGCCGAAAGTGGAGAATGAGCTGCTGAACACCCATCAAAGAAACCAACCAAAAATGGGTATGGGATGCGGTGGGTCTTTTTGGTGGTGATTTTGGCTGTGGTGAGCTGTGGTGGTGGTGGTGTTTTGCTTCGATTTTGGCTGTGGGATGCGGTGGGTCGCGGTGGAAGGAAGTGAAAAAGGGGGAAAATGGAGAAGGAAGTAAAAATGTGTTTCCCGTGTTTTCAACTGTTTGCCTGAAAACAACCAAAATGAAAAAAAAAGTCGTTTTGGTGTTTTACGTAGAAAAAAAATTTTTGTTTTCCAAAACGCATTTTCGAAAATAGGGAAGAGAACGCGTTTTCACTGTTTTGAAAAATCGAAAATAGAAAACGGCCCAAGACAGACAAAGAGAACAGGCCCTTACATTTTCCCCACATGATAGCTTTCAGTATTTTAGTTGTATCTTCCTCTCCCAATATCCGATTTGGGTAATTCAAAATGAGTTGGAAAGCTTACTTCAAGATCTACAAAACTTATAGAAATACAAATCTTCAAATTCAAAAGTATTCTATGACAAAAATAGGTCTCAAACTGAGACTGAAAAT